ATACAGACTCATAGAAAATTAAAATTTAAATACCATCTATCTGTCTATATATCATTGTAACTTAACATATATACTGTATAACTGTGTGAAGGAATAATATCTAACCAATTGCAAATACACATAGGTACTTTAAATACATGTATTTGATGTAAATAAAATAAGAATCCCTGTAAAGCAAATATAATAGTATGTATATCATATAAAATTTAATTTTATTTTTTGTATTAGTTTAATATTGAATCATTATGGTACAAAATAATTTTGAATTTGATGCATTCAAATCCTTAAAATAAATATCATACTTTTAAAAACATATCCATATTAGTCTGGTATCAACATTTTTCCGTATTATCCATGCAGCCATAGAAAGGTAAAATAAAATAAAAATCTGCCTAAAAAATCTTCCGTTGGCACTCCATAATTTTTTCAAACACAAGTCTTAATCCAGTTTACTCAGTTCATTATGTTCATTTCACCTGTGACCTCAATTTGTTAACACACATCGATTGCATCAGACGCTACGGACACTCCAGACGCTACGTCACTTGACACCTGCATATATACATGTAATCAGAGGTGTGTAGAGTTTGATTGAAGAGTACTGACTACTGGATTATAATTGGACTTAATTCTTTTGTCTCTCTGGGTGTTAAAACAGGTATTATTTACCTGATTAACGGACAATTAAAAGGTGTGAAAGTCGTTTAAATCAGACAAAGCAATGCATAGGGACCAGATAATTAGGGTCGCTTGTCACATATGACAGGGAGTCGTTTAATTCAGACCATTTATATAGGAAAATTCATTGGGAGGACTGAAACAAGGTCGGATAAGACAGGGAGTCGTTGAAATCAGGGGGTCGCTAAGGCAGTCTCGACTGTACTAGTATTTCATAATTAACATAAATAGAACATATTAAAAGAGTATAAATTCAATACTGAATTCATTGAACGAGTTGATTAAAGTAATGTTTTGCGAGCCCTTGGCAAGCATAATATTATTCTATTCAACGAGTTCAATAAATTTTGTATCATTGAAATTACACGAATGTAACATTCTATTTATCACATATCCAAAATGAAGAGTAAAAATAATTGTATGCCCGGCCGTGCAATGCAATTTTACGGAGTAGCAAAATCGGCAGGGGGTATGTGATAAATATCATTAAGATTCTACACGTTGATTAGAAATACTGGACATCAATTTATGAATATAAAAACATAGATCAACAAGACAAATAGACGTCAACAAAGTATAGATGCCGGCAATATCGCCATTCATAACCTTCAGACATGATTTATGAATCCCATCCTTAACCTTGAGGCATCACATGCACGGGGGAGGAAGTGTTACACGAAGGATGGAGTTCTTATGATAACTTGTTTGGAGTTCTTATGATAACTGTCACGGAGTTCCAGGAAAACGTTACGGATTTCTGTGGAAAACTTTTCTATATACTTTGAGAACTCGCGTAAATAATGGTTATTTTTAACTTTAAATGGGGAGTTTGAGGTGCTAAATTTAACTTTGATAATTAAGCTTGCCCTACATATTGTATTTTGTTTCAGAAAAAATCTTTGAGTCCATATTTTGTCGCCTTTTTTAAAAAAATCTGGTAGTTTTGAGAAAAATTACCAAATTACTTGCTAATTCGTACATATTGACCTTTTCATTTGTGATCTTTTTCGTTGCTATACATAATCACCTAATTATTATGGAGAGTTGCAAACATAAAGCCAAGGCTAATAAATTTATACCCGATTTTTCAAATGTTACGGAGTTCTTGCGATAACTCAAAATATGTCCTGGAGTTCTTATGATAACTTTTGTTACTGCCAGTATGTTTTTGTGCTTAATCACGGCACGTTTAAGCGTATTTTATTAGTCAATAAGTGTGTAAATCATTATGAAGCATAATACGCTTATCATTTGCACAAAAATTTGGTTATATAACGTTGGTTTTTGATCGTGTTTTTCAGTTCAATAGATATTTTTCTTACCTCCGTTTCTTGTGTTTTTTTGTGTTTGTTTTGGTCTTTTTGTGTGTGTGTGTTTTTTATTTTATTGGAATGACTGTAAACATACTTGATGTAGAGCATTTACTTACAGGATAAAAAGACGCTTTGAATTTAATACTCAAGCCTGATTTCGTCATATACTAGTATACATTATTCCTGGCAGTTTTAGAGAACATTTCGAACAATTTCTAAAAGGTATCAGTTTTTTTGTCATAGAAACGTATAAAGTCTTCAATAAGATATGTGAGTCACCGTAAGGTTCATGCCGTTTATCGACCCTGTTCCTTTCTCTATTAAATCCAATGTAGCATCACATGACGTACAACAATCTCCATATTTCGGAAAATTACTGCATACATTTTTCTTTTCAAAGTTGGAGTCCTAGTTGTGGAAATTTTGCAACAACTTTTGCTGTAACTGATTTACAAAAATATATTGTCGAACTTCTTTCGCTCGAACCCGTAGGGCACGTGCAAATCTGTCGAAGAGATCGGTAGTAATCGGTTGATTTTTTATGCATAAAAAGATCATACATTTCGGGTGCATGGGTGTGAAGGGTATCCCGGTTACATACGATACAGGGTATATTATGATACAATTTACTTAGCCGCTTTTGAGCCCAACTACTTATTGTCTGCTTCAGAAAGGCGGTTGCTTAAAACATGTAACTGAGAAAAATGGTAAGTTTTAAACAATTTTTCCTTGGCGGTTTAAGCCATGTTACTGCTGAATACAGGTGACCGCTGATTCAGGTTTTCCTGAAGATTTTTGTTTGTTTGTTTCATTTTACACCTTTTCCCAACAGTATTTCAGTCATATGGGCGGGTAGTTTCCTAACCATCGTTCCTGGAGAGTTACACCAGTACTAGGCTACCTTCCTCCGTGCTAAACTACCAAAGCATCTCCCGGGATCGAACCACGTCAAAGAGGTAACTGGATCAAACCCCTCGACCACGGAGGCGGTCGTTCCTGAAGATAGCTTAGCACCTGTTTATCCTATATAGACTGTGCACCAAAGCAGTTTCATGTCTTCTCCAGATATATTGAATGATCGTGTTTTAATTTTGCCACATGGCCTCAATGTTGCATTTGCGGAAACTTATGACATAAAACTTTTGTTGACGAACAGTATACACAGAAACATTAAGTGCATTCGTTGGGTTTTATAATGTCAATATGATTTCGCACAAATTTAATTAGGAACTAAAACCGATCAAAACCAACGTTATATAACCAAATTTTTGTGCAACTGATAAGCGTACTATGCTTCATAATGATTTATACACTTATTGACTAATAAAATACGCTTAATGTGCCGTAATTAAGCACAAGAAACACACTGGCAGTAACAAAAGTTATCATAAGAACTCCGGGACATATTTGAGTTATCACAAGAACTCCGTAACATTAGAAAAATCGGGTATACATTTATTAGCCCGGGCTTTATGTTTGCAACTCTCCGCTATAATTAGGTGATTATGTATAGCAACGAAGAAGATCACAAATGAAAAGGTCAATATGTACGAATTAGCAAGTAATTTGGTAACTTTTCTCAAAACAACCAGATTTTTTTTTAAACGGCGACGAAATATGGACTCAAAGATTTTTTCTGAAACATAAGTCAATATGTAGGGCAAGCTTAATTATCAAAGTTTAATTTAGCACCTCAAACTCCCCATTTAAAGTTAAAAATAACCATTATTTACGCGAGTTCTCCAAGTATATAGAAAAGTTTTCCACAGAAATCCGTAACGTTTTCCAGGAACTCCGTGACAGTTATCATAAGAACTCCAAACAAGTTATCATAAGAACTCCATCCTTCGTGTAACACTTCCTCCCCCGTGACATGGGTGACACAAGGTTCACATCGTCTCGTTTACGTGCAAGCGGCAAACAAATATTACGATAAATACGGGAGATAATTTAGCACCGGTCGAATAAAGGCACATTTTGAATTACCTCTCTTTATTCAAAAACTACATTTTGATAATATGTTATTGTATATATCACCACAATTTAAGTATATTAAATAAATTATACAAAATGGTTGGTGCAAAAGTTAAAGCAAAAGTTTAGTAATTGTATATTTTATCAATATAATTTTCAATGATAGCAAAGAAAGTTGCGTACATAAGATTTAAAATCACCTTTACTAAATAATTTTAATATATTAGTATTTGGAACATTTTCACTGTTCATACTAAAATATCATCATGGTTATTCAGTCTTAATTGATTTTTTTACAATTATTATTTGTGTATTACAAGTTAAAAAAAAGATAAAATCAAATAGCTTTCTAACAATTGTAAATATACCATTTTAAACAACAACAACAACAAAACATCATATCTGACGTTGCAATGTTCAATTTTAACAGTGATAATCAGTTAATAAATAACTAATATAGTATATCATTTTAAAAATCAAACCACTATACAAATCAATTAATATACTAGTCAATTAAACTTATTTAAAAAAGGTTAATATAATCAATTTATTAGAAACAGCTAAACTTGGTTTATGTAATTACCTCAATAGGACAACCTCAACTTGGTTTATATATTTACTTCAATAGGACAAGCTAAACTTGATTAAAATAATTACCTCAATATGACCAGCTAAACTTGGTTAATATTTACATCAATAGGCCAACTAAACTTGGTCTAAATAATTACCTCAATATGACCAGCTTAACTTGGTTTTTATAATTACCTTAATAGAACCAGCTAAACTTGGTTTTTGTAATTACCTCAATAGAACTAGCTAAACCTTTTTGTTTATAGGATTGTGTGCTATTTAAAACAATATGTCTTTGAGATATTGACGTACATAGAACAGTTATAGCATTTAACTCCCTTGTTATCATTATATGCTGAAAGGTATCGGCATTTCTCCAACGTTGAAAATAAGATATTAATTAAATACGTGGCTCAGAATTTGGCTGCAACTCAGGAAAATAGAAACGTCTCGCACTGACATAGATCATGGGATCGATAGAAGTGAACCGAGTGTTTGTACAGGTAAACACGATATAAACCAAACAATTCCGAGTGTACCTCTTCAGCACGTGCTGTATACTGTAGTATTTCAATCAATGGAATTTTACATTTTTTACAAGAATTATGTGATTGATGTGTATTGCTTCATGTAGGTCCGGAGTAAAAACAAATGTGTAAATACAGGAATGAGATACGTGAAATTACTTTCAAAAACATTTCTTGCGTTTGTTGTGAATTAAATAGAAACCAGAATCATTTTACATCATACCAGCTCAATACAAAAAATAAGAAATCGTCATGGAGTACAGTTTCTATGTACTGTAATTAAGCTTGGCAGGTAAGTAAACAATTTGAATGTAAGTCGTATAGTGAGTGATTGTACAGTGTTATATGTAAAGTTTGTATCAGTGTAAGATCCCGTTGTTTTTGAGTAAAGTAAATAGGACATTTTCATATTTCAGAAAATGAGACCATCATTTAAGAGTCCCTTTAACTTAGAATACACATCTTCTGTTCAACGTCACCTATTATCATAAAACATATTCACCTAATTGTTTAATCATAATTTAACAAACAACTGTTTCATTATCTTTTAACCAGTTCATTATCATTTAACATACATCAATTACATCCTTTGTTTATTATCCTTTAACAAATATCATTCGCCCGCTATTTCATTATCATTTGACTAGTTTATTATCCTTAAACATATATCATGAGCCTACTTTTTTATTATGATTTAACAAATATTATTCACTCAAAGTGAATTATCGTTGAATATACTTCAGTTACATATTTGTTCATAATCATATAACAAACAATTATAATCTACTGAATTATTATCATTTTTAAGCATAAATTATCATTTTATCATACATCACTCATGCATATTGTCTTTAACATTCATCGGTGATCATCTTCTGGTAATATATAGCAATCATCGTATGGTTTATTATTATTTTACAATTATGTATATTATCATATGATCATCAAATTAATTTTCCTTTAAAATGCATCAATCATCATCTGGTTAATCATCATTCAGCATACATCAATCATTATCTAGTTAATTGTTAAGCATTCATCAATCATTATCTGGTTAATTGATAAGCATGTATTAATCACTATCTGGTTAATCGTTAAGCATACATCAATCATTATCTATATAACCTTTAAGTATACATTAATCATTATCTGGTAAATCGTGAAGCATGCATTAATCATTATCTGGTCAATAGTAAAGCATGCATCAATCATTATCTGGTAAATCGTGAAGCATGCATCAATCATTATCTGGTTAATTGTTCAGCATGCACGCACCAATCATTATCTGGTCAATCGTTAAGCATACATCAATCATTTTCTGGTAAATCGTGAAGCATGCATCTATCATTATCTGGATAATCCTTACGCATGCATCAATCATTATCTGGTTAATTGTTAAGCATGCATCAATCATTATCTGGTTAATTGTAAAGCAAACATCAATCATTATCTGGTTAATCGTTAAGCATGCATCAATCATCATCTAGTTAATAGTTAAGCATGCATCAATCATTATCTGATTTATCGTTAAGCATACATCAATTATAATCTGGTTAATCGTTAAGCATGCATCAATCATTATCTGGTTAATTGTTAAGCATGCATCAATCATAATCTGGTTAATCGTTAAGCATACATCAATCATTATTTAGTTGATTGTTAAGCATGCATCAATCATTATCTGGTTAATCGTTAAGCATGCATCAATCATAATCTGGTCAATCGTTAAGCATACATCAATCATTATCTGGTTAATAGTTAAGCATACATCAATCATTATCTGGTTAATTGTTGAGCATACATCAATCATTATCTAGTTAAAAGTTAAGCATACATCAATCATTATCTGGTAAATCGTGAAGCATGCATCAATCATTATTTGGTTAATAGTTAGCATGCATCAATCATTACCTGGTTAATAGTTAAGCATACATCAATCATTATTTGGTTAATTGTTAAGCATACATCAATCATTATCTGGTCAATCGTTTAGCATACATCAATCATTATCTGGTTAATCGTTAAGCCTGCATCAATCATTATGTTGTCAATCGTTTAGCATACATCAATCATTATCTGGTTAATCCTTACGCATACATCAATCATTATCTGGTTAATCCTTACGCATGCATCAATCATTATCTGGTTAATCCTTACGCGTGCATCAAAATAATCGTTAAGCATACACCAATCATTATTTAGATAATCGTTGAGCCTGCATCAATCATAATCTGGTCAATCGTTAAGCATACATCAATCATTATCTAGATAACCTTTAAGTATACATTAATCATTATCTGGTTAATCGTTAAGCATGCATCAATCATTATCTATTTAATCGTTAAACATACATCAATTATTACCTTGATAATCGTTAAGCATTCATCAATTACCTACCAGATAATTATCACCTGTCACCTTCTGGTTCAAACATTTACATACATCGATCATCTTTTAGTTTTATTTCAAAAACCAAGTATAGCTGGTCCTATTGAACAAATACACACCAACCAAGTACACATATTTGTGTATTATCATTTGTCCTAGCATTCTTCAATCATCTGCTAGTTCTTAATCATTGAAAACCATTGAAAAAATCTATGACCTTCAAGTTTATTATCATCTGAAATAAATAAATCACCAACTGGTTTATTATAATTTAATATACATTTATTACTTTGTCTAAGATAGATCAATAATCTCCTAGTTTAGAGATAAACAGTAAGTATAGAGATAAAGCAGTAAGTATAGAGATATAGCAGTAACTGTAGAGATATAGCAGTAATTAAAGAGATATAAGAGTAACTGTAGAGATACCGCAGTAACTATAGAGATATTGCAGTAACTATAGAGATATAGCAGTAAGTATAGAGATATAGCAGTAAGTATAGAGATAGCGAAGTAACTATAGAGATATTGCAGTAAGTGTTGAATTATAGCAGTAACTGAAGAGATATTGCCGTTACTGTACAGATATCGCAGTTTTTGTAGAGATATAGCAGTTTTTGTAGAGATATAGCAGTTTTTGTAGAGATTAAGCAGTTACTTTAGAGATATAGCAGTTTCTATAGAGATATAGCAGTTAATATAGAGATATAGTAGTAACTAAAGATATAGCAGTAACTATAGAGAAATAGCAGTAACAATAGAGATATAGCAGTATATATAGAGATATAAAAGTTACTATAGAGATATAACAGTAACTATAGAGATAAAGCAGTAACTATAGAGATATAGCAGTAAGTATAGAGATATAGCAGTAACTATAGAGATATAGCAGTAATAATAGTGATATAGCAGTTGCTATAGAGATATAGCAGTAACTATAGAGATATAGCAGTAATTAGAGTAATATAGCAGTTGCTTTAGAGATATAGCAGTAACTGTAGAGATATAGCAGAAAGTATAGAGATACATCAGTAAGTATAGAGATATAGCAGTAAGTATAGAGATATAGAAGTTAGTATAGAGATATAGCAGTAAGTATACAGATATAGCAGTAAGTATACAGATATATCAGGATCTATACAGATATAGCAGTAAGTATACAGATATAGCAGTATCTATAGAGATAAAGCAGTAAATGTAGAGATATAACAGTACGTATTTAGATTAGTATAGAGATATAGCAGTAAGTAAAGAGATATAGCAGTAAGTATTGAGATATAGCAGTAATTAAAGAGATATAGCACTAAGTAGAGAGATATATAGCAGCACTGACTAAAGTGATATAGCAGTTACTCTAGAGATATAAAGATAGTATAGAGATAAAGCAATTACTTTAGAGATACAGCAGTAACTATAGAGATATAGCAGAACGTATAGAGATATAGCAGTAAGTATTGAGATATAGCAGTAAGCATAGAGATAAGGCAGTAAATATAGAGATATAGCAGTAGTTTATAGAGATATAGCAGTAAGTATAGAGATAAAGCAATAAGTAAGGAGATAAAGCAGTAAGTATAGAGATATAGCAGTAACTATAGTGATATAGCAGTTGCTTTACAGATATTGCAGTAACTATAGAGATATAGCAGTAATTATAGAGATAAAGAAGTAAGTATAGTGATATAGCAGTAACTATAGAGATATAGCAGTTAGTATAGAGATGTAGCAGTAACTATAGAGATATAGCAGTAACTCTAGAGATATAGCAATAAGTATGGATATATAGCAGTTAGTATAGAGATATAGCAGTAACTATAGTGATATAGCAGTTGCTTTACAGATATAGCAGTAACTATAGAGATATAGCAGTTGCTACAGAGATATAGCAGTAACTTTAGTGAAATAGCAGTTAGTATAGAGATAAAGAAGTAAGTATGGCGATATAGCAGTTAGTATAGAGATATAGCAGTAACTATAGTGATATAGCAGTTGCTACAGAGATATAGCAGTAACTATAGTGATATAGCAGTTGCTTTGGAGATATAGCAGTAACTATAGTGATATAGCAGTAATTATAGAGATAAAGAAGTAAGTATGGCGATATAGCAGTTACTATAGAGATATAGCAATAACTATAGTGATATAGCAGTTGCTATAGAGATATAGCAGTAACTATAGTGATAAAGCAGTTGCTTTAGAGATATAACAGTAACTATAGTGATATAGCAGTAATTATAGTGATAAAGAAGTAAGTATGGCGATATAGCAGTTAGTATAGAGATATAAGTAACTATAGTGATATAGTAGTTGCTATAGAGATATAGCAGTAACTGTAGAGATATAGTAGTTAGTATAGAGGTATAGCAGTTAGTATAGAGATATAGCAGTTAGTATAGAGATATAGCCGTAAGTAAAGAGATATAGCAGTATCTATAGTGATAGAGCAGTAACTGTAGAATTATAGTAGTTAGTATAGAGATATAGCAGTTACTATAGAGATATAGCAGTAACTGTAGAGTTATAGTAGTTAGTATAGAGATATAGCAGAAACTATAGTGATATAGCAGTTACTATAAAAATATAGCAGTAACTGTAGAGTTATAGTAGTTAGTATAGAGATATAGCAGTAACTATAGTGATATAGCAGTTACTATAAAAATATAGCAGTAACTGTAGAGTTATAGTAGTTAGTATAGAGATATAGCAGTATCTATAGTGATATAGCAGTTACTATAAAAATATAGCAGTAACTGTAGAGTTATAGTAGTTAGTATAGAGATATAGCAGTAACTATAGTGATATAGCAGTTACTATAAAAATATAGCAGTAACTATAGAGTTATAGCAGTTAGTATAGAGATATAGCAGTAAGTATAGAAATAAAGCAGTAAATATGGAGATATAGCAGTAAGTATAGAGATATAACAGAAAGTATAGATATATAACAGTTAGTATAGAGATATATCAGTAACTATAGAGATATAGCAGTAACTATAAAAATATAGCAGTAAGTATAGAGATATAGCAGTAACTATAGTGATATAGCAGTTACTATAGCGATATAGCAGTAAGTATAGAGATATAGCAGTTAGTATAGAGATATAGCAGTTAGTATAGAGATATAGCAGTAAGTATTGATATATAGCAGTTCGTATAGAGATAAAGCAGTAATTATAGAGATATAGCAGTAATTAAAGAGATATAGCAGTAACTATAGACATATGGAGCAGTTACTGTAGAGATATAGTAGAAACTATAGAGATATAGCAGTAACTATAGATATATAGCAGTAACTATAGAGATATAGCAGTAACTATAGAATATAGCAGTAAGTATTATGATATAGCAGTATCTATAAATATATAGCGTAAGTATAGAGATATAGCAGTAAAAATAGAGATATAGCAGTAATTATAAAGATAGAGCAGTAAGTAGAAAGATATAGCAGTAAGTATAGAAATACAACAGTAAGTATAAAGATATAGCAGTATATACGTCCAATTTTTACATCTTTAAATAGTGTATATAGTGACAGTTGTAACTTTTCAACGTAACTAACCTAAGCTGCTATAAACGGTAACAATGACGTCTTTATGGTTTAAAGATAGGCAACATAAAAATCTATGTTATATAAAATTCTATTTTGATGTCAGATAATAGCATATAACGCTTTACCTCTAGCACGTGCCAGCTTTCCTGTGTTTAAAGTAAAAGTTTTTGGAGAAAAACAAAACAAGACAATATGTATCTAACGAAACATTTTTTATTTCAAATCAAGGACGATGATTCAAATATTGATAATTTATGTATTTCTTAGAACCCAACGCATGGTTTGTTTTATGTTGTTTCGCACATTGTAAAGATATTGGCATATTCCGCATTTACTGTGATATATTGATAATCTCAGGGCTCATATAAACAAAGATAATTAAAGACACTAACTCGAGTGATTGGGAACAGCTGAAACTATATTGTCTGCTATATAGATGTATACTTTTCTGATAACGAAAGTCCCAAGTTATCTTTCCTTATGTTATATTTTAGTTAAGAAGTGATTTTTAGACAGTATTTTGCATTAGGCTTGTGTAATCTAAACAGTATATCATAGTGTCAAGTAAATCATGTTCAAAATCCAACAACAACGTTTTATGAACTAGTATGAACTAAATCAATAATCAAGTTATATGAACTTTGTCATTAACCATGCTATAAAGTCTAAATCACGATGTATGAACTAAGTAAAATGAAACGTTTTATAAACTTTTCACATGCATGTTATATCAACTAAATCAACTGATATTTATCTGTTTCAGATGTGAAGTGCCCATAATGGTTCAGCATTGTGCTATACATCAATTGTGAAGTGTACATCAAGTGTGAAGTGTACATCAAGTGTAGTGTACATCAAGTGTAGTGTACATCAAGTGTGAAGTAACTTTGATCGCTATCATCAGACAGACACATTTTACATCAATATATCACGATACATGCTATAGCTAATTGTTACATCTTTAACATCATTATATCACGATACATGCTAAACGTTACATCTTTTACATCATTATATCACGATAAAAACTAATCGTGACATCTTCACATTATTATATCACGATATCGGCTGAACGTAACATTTTTACATGATTATATCACGATACATGCTAAACGTGACACCTTTTACATCAATATATCACGATAAAAACAAATCGTGACATCTTCACATTATTATATCACGATATAGGCTGAAAGTGATATCTTTTACATCAATACAGCGCGATACAAGCTAAACTTGACACCGTTTACATCAATATATCACGATACATGCCAAAAGTTACAACTTCACATCATTATATTATTCATGATACTGGCTGAACGTGACATATCACTAAGATCATTTTGAATGAGTTCACTCTAACAGAATGTGTTCACAATAGTTTGATAAGCTATATATGTAAAACATGATGATTCTATAACACCTATAATCCTGTGTAGGCAGTTCACTTAAAGGCACATCTATATAGCACCGACTCATATTTTATCAATTACACATAATTATATGTATCATCTTTTTTTTTTCTTGATTATCATTTGAATCAAACCATTTAATTTGATATTATTTAACATTTATAATATTGTATATTAGTACAAGGAACGTGAGTTCTAAATAAACTTATAAAGGTGAAGCACTAGAAAACATTTTATAGATCAGATTGTTGGTTCATCTAGAAAATCTAGGATAATATTTATATCGTTATGTTAGACGTGTAGACAATAACATAAAAATCGCTCGAGCAGGTGAGAAATATTTACAAATATATACGAACTTTCAGTAATACAACTACTATGTTTTTGATCAATTTTCTACAGAAGAATTCACGTTCATCTACAGAGAGTAAAACAATTCTTCATGTTTGTGTTCAATGGAAATAATATACAGCTATTAATCATCAGATCAGAGTGTCTGCCTACATTGTTTATACAATTAAATTCTGCTATTTTTTTTGTGTGTGTTACTATAAGAAGTGATATACTGATAGTATATTTATAAAGTTATATAAATGTATTATGAACAAAACAGTGATTTTCTGATATAAAACATGCGCAATGCGAGCTTCGTACATGGTTCGCAGTTTCTGGATTATAACGAATAAAATGACAACGGCCATTGCGTACAGTTTTATGGCCATGGACAAACGTCAACGTAATGAAGTATCGGAAGTGAACAGGCGCTCGAGCAATAACTCAGAGAAATATTTAAACCCAGGGTATGACAATACCAGTGAAAGCGGAATGTCAAGGTCATTGAAAAGACGTCCAAGAAAGAGGTCATCCTCAAGCACTCGATCAAAAAAAGATTCGAGGGTAAGTGGTTGAACAAGATTTCTATTTCTGTATACCTCAATATGAAGCAATATGACGTTCTAATTACACGTCTTCTGACTTCATTTTCTGTAAATTGGAATCATAATTTAAGGCACTATGGCCTCGCTATGACTTTGATGGTCTATATTTTTGTATTGTATGCAACGTCATTAAACGTGAAGTAATCATTAAATCGTATGTCCCGTGACGTCAGACAAAAGAAATCATGAGATTTTGCAAATGAGATTTGTCTTACAAAACTATTACTGACAATTTAAGCATAGTTAACCTACTACAACGTTATTATTGTCCTTACGAATTAAAGCACGAGGATATATACATATTCCATTTCGATGAGTAACGCTGGTTTATCATGTGTTTATACACCATACTTTTATATTATAACAAGAAATATAAGCATGGAATATAAATGTATATTAAAAAATAATAAATGACAATGTTACAATAGATACAAGAACCACTTACAAATGAAATTAAAACAGCAGTCGAACATATACAGGTAAGTTCAATACTGATTTTATTGAACGAGTTGAATAAAGTTATATTATGCGAGGCGAGCATATTATTTTATTCAACAAGTTCAATAAATTTAGTATTGGACTTACACGAATATAATATTCTATTTATCACATATCCAGAATAAAGAGTGTTAAAAATGAAAAAGAATCATTTTTAAATGACGCTCCTATAATGTAGCGTTAACATTTAACGCGACTTTACACAATATTTGTATAACGCAAATGACGTCACGTCAAAATATATGCACGACCGTGCAATATCGTTTTTACGGAGTCACAAAATCGGCACTGGTATGTGATAAAAAGAGTAACTGTCAATGCTGGCGGAGGCTATGCAAAATAAAAGAGAAAACCCTAGGGTTCATATGAAGACAATATGTTAATGATCATGAAGCATGTTTTACCTATAAGAGTTTAATGGTTTAAGAATCAAATCCAATTGAAATGTTTCAGTAAAGCTTGTTAAATCTACAATCTGGCCCAGCCTCTCACGGTAGATATGTTATGTTAAATCAGGGGAATAAATTATTGGAGGCAGTTTATATTCTCGTCAGACAAAGCTAAGTTCGCTGTTGCAACAATGATTGCATTTTCCCATAAAATGCCCACACATTTGTGTTTTAGTACTTTTATGGAAAAGAATTCAAGAAATTGATTAATTTCTACATATTTTTGACAGTTTTTGTCAATCTCATCGAACTATATTTTGCTACGCGTATGCATGTACATGTAATGAACAACGGCATAAAAAGGCAATATCGCCTTGCAAGAATGATTGTGAACACGATAAGTAAAGAACTAGACGTGTGTATATTAGTGATATATACAGGTATATTTTATTTGTTAAATTACTATAATCATATATGAATAAAAAGACATGAAGATAGAAAACGAAATAGACTGATCATGCTTAGTAATCAGGGCCGAAATGTTTGTGACTCAAAATAACTTAGCTTTATACAGAAGAGTGTTAACATGGAATAAGCTGTTTGTTTATCTCATCTTTATTGTTATCTAGTAATTGTTCATTTCTAAAACAACAGAAGAAAAACAACATGAACATGAAGAAATAATATGAGCCGCGTCACGACAAAACCAACATAGCATCCGCGCAGTCTGACCAGGATCCATGATGTTCGCTTACCAACTATATAACAAGTGCAGAAACTGACAGCGAACAGCATGCATCCTGATCAGAGTGCGCGGATGCGCAGGCTGGTCTGGATCCATGCTGGTCGAAAACGCACTATGTTGGTTTTGTCGTGACGCGGCTCATATGTTACTTTGACACAATTGACTGACGATGTCAATAGATTTATAACTAATTGAATGACTATAAATATGAAAATATTCATGGCTATATACATGTAATTATTTACCGATATAAATGATTTTATACATGACTGTAAAATGAATATTATTTCAATGTTAAACATAATAATCACATTTATAACAGACGATTTTTTTCAATGACAATATTCAATAAGTATTTGTCATAAGAACATCACCACTGAACTTAAATCATCAACATCGTTATTATATTACTTTAACAAATTGGTAAGCTAGAAGTAGTTAGAATCGGGTAAATGTTTTGTTTAAGTCTTGGTTGTAGAATATATTAAGAGTCTTATTTGTTGGCCTTAAGTAAGGTGTCTAATACATGACATGGCTTAGCTGGAATCGATACTGTTGTGAGAGATCACATTTGGAAAAAAATGTAATGAATATTTTCTAAGGAAAGATTTGAAGTAGTGGTACTAAAATTTTAACTTTTTGTTTTTAATTTGAGAGGTAAATATAAATAAATTACACTTTTGTAACAAAAATGCACATTATATGTGACGTAGTATGGCGCTGTACATCCGTCTGTCCGTGCGTATGTCCGCCGACAAATCGTTTCCGCTGATTAACGTTTTTAAAAACTTTTTCAAATCATATTTGTCATGTAAACTTCTGCACTTAAGTAATTATTGTAAACCAGTGGGTCATAAACGTTTAATTTATTGACATTTATTTAGATATTGCTAATGAAATAGTTCCGGTAGAGGCATTATTGATGATTTTCATTAAAACTCATTGAAGTTGGCCATAATCCACCAATTAGTATAAAAAGGTAAATGTATATAATAAATATTAAATAAATTGAGTAGATATTTGTTATCCAAATATGCGTTTAAAATATTAAAATATAATGATATCAAAGTAAGTTTTTATAAAATCGATCGATTTGTGATAAGAGTAATGGTTCTCTCTAGGCAATTTGTATACAAAATGAAGTTTTCATCGGAATAACCTTCAAAAATCTTTATTTCAAAATATAAAATAACACATATAATTTGTTTGCATTTTGTAGGCTAGTGAATAATTACAAAACACACTTTCTATTATAATAACATTTTAACAAGTGTAAGTAATTTGTTATATTTAGGATTTAGTAAAATAACGTTTGAAAGATTTCACCATTTGTTTTTTCTTGACTGCTATAATATTGATAATGATTTACAGGTTATATGGCCCAAAGATATACGGTTGTCAGGTAATAATATAATCCGAGTAATATAAACACTAGGCGATGGCTAAATCTTAAATATTATGATAATAGATACTGTAACTTTTAATATGTATATATGTATTCTGTATAGTACTGATCTGTTACAGTGCGACTGTATTTTCAGTATAATGAAGATATGTTACAGTGCGACTGTATTTTCAGTATAATGCTGATCTGTTACAGGGCGCCTGTATTTTCAGTATAATGCAGATATGTTACAGGGCGCCTGTATTTTCAGTATAATGCAGATATGTTACAGGGCGCCTGTATTTTCAGTATAATGCAGATATGTTACAACGTGACTGTATTTTCAGTATAATGCTGATCTGTTACAGGGCGCCTGTATTTTCAGTATAATGCTGATCTGTTACAGGGCGCCTGTATTTTCAGTATAATACTGATCTGTTACAGGGCGACTGTATTTCCAGTATAATACTGATCTGTTACAGTGCGACTGTATTTTCAGTATAATGCAGATCTGTTACAGGGCGACTGTATTTTCAGTATAATTCTGATCTGTTACAGTGCAACTGTATTTTCAGTATAATGCAGATCTGTTATAGTGTGACTGTATTTTCAGTATAATACTGATCTGTTACAGTGTTACTGTATTTTTAGTTTAATGTTGATCTGTTACACCGTGACTGTATTTTCAGTATTATAGCATAAAATCGGCTATTTTTCCCTATTTTGCCCATGTTATAACGGGACCAAAACCATGTGTTAACATAGTCACGCGCTCTTGTTATAGCCCGGTTTCACCTATGCGCAATACATACAGGGCCCAGTAAACAAACAAAAAAATGACGATTTGGCCTGTTTGCCAAAGAGTCATGCGCTCTGGTTATATTGAAATTATTGATTCGAGGGCCTCAATTGCATTAAATACGGCGAGCAGCATTCAAGTAACTATGCCGGAAATACGGCGTATATACATCGCTGCTAATTCTTGGTTGTCGCCCTTTCTAAGAAACGGACAGTTGTCAATGTAAACAAATTACTGGCATTCAGTTTAACCCTCCGATTAACTTACAAAACAGGATAACACAAAATGAATATGAGAACATATTGTTTTATTGATGCTTATGTTGATAAATGCTCTTTATATTTCTTTGAGAGAATAATGTTTAGTGCCTGATTTTTTTTATAAACTTATATGCTTGAAAAAACCCGATTCTGATGACGTCACTGATCTTTTTTCTACCGTCAATCTGAAATCATTCTAAGAATTTCTGAGGGTCATGTTTTGTATTGGGAAGAGTAATGTAACGTTGTTGTTTTTCTTCCTTGAGATAATATTTCTCCAATGTCAAGCTTTATAATATCAATTAAAATTCAAAATTTCATTCGGTTCGTTGTTGGCCCCGGAAAAATAAAACGCATACGTAAAACATGTAGAATTGGATAAATACCGTCCAAGCACAAGGATTTAATGTATTGTGTTTTGTATTGAATATACATCATGAATCTGTTTTAAAATTTTATGCTATAATAGCGTCAACGCACGTTTATTTCGTGTTATAAAGTCTGCAGAGTCCCTCAGAACTGTTGGAGCCCTCGCCCTACCGGGCTCGGGCACCAACCGTTCCTCGGGACTCTGCAGACGTTATAACACCGAAAAACGTGCGTTAACCCTATAAAATGTTGATCTGTTATAGTGCGACTGTATTTTCAATATAATGTTGATCTGTTACAACGTGACTGTATTTTCAGTATAATGTTGATCTGTTACAGTGCGACTGTATTTTCAATATAATGCTGATTTGTTATAGTGTGACTGTATTTTCAGTATAATGCTGATCTGTTACAGTGTGGCTGTATTTTCAGTATAATACTGATCTGTTATAGTGCGACTGTATTTTCAGTATAATTCTGATCTGTTACAGTGCGACTGTATTTTCAGTATAATG